CTGGTTTTTCTTTTGACGTAATAACAGCCAAAAATTGTGTAAGCTTGAATAATTTCAGATTTATACCTTTTCAGGAATATAATTGTTAGATTGAAAGACTATTATTTTTACTTTCTACGTAGAAGAGAAAGTTTTTTAATCTAAATTCTTCTCCTGGTTTCCTACTTCGAACAACACAAAGAAAGGAAAACCTCGCCTCTCCCTGTTATCTACTTCGAACCACACAAAAAAGGGAAACCACGACCCCACGTTGTTACTCACTTTTAATGACCCACAAAAGGAAAGCCCGCGCCCCCTCCGCTTGTGCAGGGCGGCAACAGGCGGCGGCGGCGGGCCTGCTCGTCGGACTCGGAAGACAACTGCCTGCGCGCGTTCCGCGAGTGCGACTGTAAGCAGCCTCCGTCCAAGACGGCGCCCCCGCCCCCGCCCCCGCCCGCCACACACTCTTTCTGGACGCAGACGTCTTCTTCCATGTACGAGAAAATGATTCCTCCCCTCTCGGCTTGCTCGCTGTCTATTTGTAGAGAGTTCCGTAAAAACCTATGCCGGAATGGTTTGGGTCCAACATTTTCTTCCATCTCGTACGGGTTTCCGGCATATTCAGATTTGCAATAAAAACTGACAATTCATAAAACGCAATCATTTCAAAATCGAATAGATTGTAAGAGTATTTTTTTCACCTCAAAACTACACATCAAAGAAAAGAAAAAGACGCTGGAGAGACAGAAAATGACATATAGAAACGCAACACAAAATCTAATGAAACAAAAAATCCATAAAAAGTAAAATAAATATTATTTTATTAATTTTTTTAGAAACAGATGAATTCATCTGGTGATTTAGGCTTTGAAGGTCAGGTTATTACAAATAAGCAGTGGATTTTGCACGTGTAGCGTGGGAAATACGACGTTCTGACGAGAGTAGCTCTGAGTGTTTTGTGATACGATGACACCACAGTTACCAGTCAATGTTTAATTTTGAAACGGTTTTTCCGTCTCATCCAGAATTTTTTTACACCGTCGTACTAAAAATTCTTTTCAATTACCGTTGAAGCAGGAAATTTATGGTTTTGTACGATTTATAGGAAATCCTTAACAGAGAAATTCTTCTTTGAGGTAGATTACAATTTCGCCAAGGGGTGCATAAAATGAGAGCTCTTGAATCTATAATTACATTTTTCTAAGACTTCATCTTCAAGTTTCATCATTGCACGGTTAGTTATAAATGAACAGAATCCAGTAAAGTGCTTGAGACACTAAATAAACAATTTTATATTTGGGCAATATGATCGATCATCTCCGAATTGTATGTTAATAAACAATTATTAATATTAGTATGTTTATCCACATAGACTTCTGGTCTTTTTGATGTATCATGCAGTGAAGGGCATGTCTGTTTGATTTTGGAAGCTTTATTTTTCATCTTTTAAAACGATATGCAAATTTCAAACTGTTCACATGGTCAAGTTACTTATAATTTAAATATTCCTTTCGAATTTAGTCACAGTCCAGTTCCGGATTTCTTAAGTAGGCGGACTAGGTGGAAAAAAGAGTAGGCGAAAAGGACGCCAAAAGATTCATGGCTGAAATTAACTACCCATGTACTATATTACTGTTAAGACGCTGCATATAACCTTGGACTGGAGGTGGGTTATCAAGCGTGTGTGGGTGTGAAATCACCTACCTTTAGATAACTCGAAGAACCAGCATGTTTTTAAGGTGAAACATACAAATCCCTTCCTAAAATTGGCTAATTACAGGAAAGGTTGACATTCGCAGGGAAATAAGTGCAAATACATTCATGACGCATAATTAAATATTTGTGAAATTATTGTGAAATATTTTTGATATAAAAGTTACAAAACGAAATAAATTTAATTAACGTATCCTCTTATTGGGGACAATAATGCATAGAAATTAAACCACAGATGTTTTGTTAGATGACATTAACTAAGTTAAAGGAAATATTCAGTTGAATCACAATTCACAATGTTATTATACCATATACTAATACAGCAGTTCATGGTCTGAATATAATGCAATGAGAAACGTAGAAAAATCATACAGTAAACTTGATATCAGTCATCAGAATGTGAATGGCATCACAGGCGGAGAATTTCACAGTCCGAGACCTGAAGTTGCAGGTCCTGATGGCGCCAGAGGTGTCCCCGCATGTCGACAGCGCTGCGTTGTGATGACAAGGCTATGAATTAGCCTCCCGCTGGGCGCCAGAAAGCGTCTTCTCGCAAGGCGATGGGATGGCGGTGTAGAGATGCCTATGCCTGTTGATAGCCTTGCAACAGAGGTGCAAGAAATCAAAAAGTGATTGTATCAATGTTAATGGGAGCGGCATTGCAATTGTCTACCCTACATGCAATTATCAGCACATACTTTGATAGTACCATACTTTGAACACAGCAGAATACATGTAAATGTGGCAAAAGCACTGTTTCAAAATCAAGATAGCGTAAATTCACAATTAATTCTTACCTATAGCTTGATCGTGACAGCACATGCGATACTTCACGCGGCATAAAATTAACTGCTCAACTAATCACAGTTTAAACATTTGAAAAGATATTGTACCAGTTTATGAAATAGATACGTATATGATGCGTATGTTAGGAACACACAGTGAGAAAAGCACGTGGCAGCATTGTAAGCAGAGTATGAATTGAGGAACGCCCGGCGAAGAGCGCGACTACCGCCACTCGTCATGAGGCGCAGCGGAGGCGGAAGAGCTTCGCGCCTCCGCCGTCTCTTGTCCCGGTTGAGGCGGCGTCGCATCTCGCCATCTAAAAGGGACACGATTACCCACACACCCCAGCAAAAGGAAGCACTTCACTTACGGAACGAATGATCTTAGCAGTTGAACCGTCCGGAATCAATAATGTATCGATCAATCATGCCCCAACGGTGACCTCCTAGGCAGGATTCATCGCCGATAACGCAGGAATGAGTTACATGCCTCTCATCGGTGAGATTTGGGATATTGTACCCTCAGCTGACACGAGTTTTATGCCGTTTTTATTCCTGTGGCCAGATTTTAATTCACGTTTTAATTAATACAATATTATTTTGTTTTCGAATTCGAACGTGCTCAAACTACTTCAAATGTTGTTTGTGTGTTGTTCCTAGGAGCCAGCTGGGGGGGCCGCCTCCGCCGCCGTACAGTTCATATTGGACTCAGACCTCTCCGTCAGTGTACCACATGCCGCCAGCCCGCCCGCACACTTCGTACTGGACTCAAACCGACTTCCCTCCACCGCCATCAGCACAGGCAGGGCCAAGGAGTAACTGTTAGCCTGTCTGTTTTACTGGTTTTCAGGCCAAAACGGACACGTCTTTACGTTTAAGGATTCTCAACAATTCGTACGAATATCTCATAAATGGAAAGCATTAAAAATTTCATAATAACTAATTTTAGAGAATAAAAACAAACACAAAGTTGTAAATAAGCTGCGGAAATGCGATTGCAAAAGTGGTAGACTACTCATTAAAGTTCCATAAATCATAAATGTCTAAGCAAGTGCGTAACTTACCGCCTTTAAAATTAAAAAAAAAACTTTTAAACATTTTAAATGGTCTCAGACATTTGCGATGTTCAAGATCATTGTTCTTTAACATTCTACCGATGATCTATTTGTAATGTAAATCCACGATAAATATTCCACGAATGAAACACATTAACACAATGAATACTACGTAAACATGAACACCATGTTTACACAGGCACCAAAATTAATTCAAATTTGGCTACTAATCTCGAACATCTCGTACGGCCAATCTCAATTTCGGCACAAATAAACTACACAAACTTGCTGTACTTGACCACCAAAAAAGTATTTTCTTCTGTTTCTAGTCTTTCGATAATCAATGCTTGCCCCTTAAAGTGAGCGCCCAGATAATCAATTTCAGTAGACCGAAGGCATTTTATAATAGCAGTGAATGATGCAACCAATGCCTTTGTGGTCAAGTTCATTTTTTAAACTTTATTTTAATCTTAATTAATTTTTGGAGTTCCTTCAAATGTAATTTAAAATAAATGTATTGACGATTAGTTATAAATGTATATTTACTGCAGTAATCAGTTTTTATTTATTGAATGTTCTAATTTTGTATTAAAATTATATATGTAAATAAAATCTAGGATCATTATTCAAATAAATTATTTATCTCTATAAACTTAATTTATTTTATGAAAATAAATTCCAACTGATTTTTCATTTGAGAATTCGTATTAAGAATAGTTGAGAATGAAAATAATTTTCACCATATTAAAAAAAATAAACTGCTACATTGATAGTATGTAGAAATGATTGTACCTTTTAAACCACCAAATGTCGGTCACGATATATCAAATAATAACAGACAAATTGTACGCGGAAAATAAGAGCAACAGTGTTTTTCTTTATTTTTTAACGTCAAAAACAGTTAAAAACTATATCTGACATACTATGGAGAGACGTGTATTTTGTGCATGTTTTCTTAAATTCTGGGATCACTACCCTACCCAAGTAAAAGTTTAATTCTGAATGCAGATGGAAATGAGCGTTTTCGGCAAGAATTTGGTTAAAAAAATCGCTTCATTCTAAGTGACCGAGCAAACTATTTCCAAAGAAAAAGCAGCTTAGATTTTCGCTTTCATCCCTTATCGTGTCCTTCGTGAAGGAATCGACTCTCTGCCTATAGAACAACAGGAAAGATAATTTGAATAACTATATCACCCGGAGAACTCTAGAAGACGTGCACAGTTACTTTTATGTCTAGAAGCAAAATTAGGGACCATCCCAGCATTTGGTAGAATGATCATGGAAATTGTACCAAAAACCGGACCTACATGGGGGTCAGGTGATATGATCGATATTACATACCCAAATTTTCATTGTGAGATCACGTTGTCAGCGCGTTACGCACACAATATTAATTTTTTCTTTCAGTTTTTACATTCTGGTATTCATTTTTACATTTGCCTATTGCAGTCTATTTTCAAATATAAATTCAATCTATTGTAGTTAAATACTTTTCAGCTACTGAAATTGCCATTGTTTGTTTGGAATGATGCGAATATATCAGAGTGTGTGACTTCTTGTATCTTGAGAGCAGAACAGTCCAATTGCCAGCGCACTGTTTTGGCTCGTGCTCAGAGCGCGTACGGCGGCCCCGTCCTGGCTGCGGGGGCGGGCGTGCGCCGGTGCGACCCCGCGCGCTGCTGCGTGCGCGACGCGGCCGCCGACGCCGAGGCCGCCAGTGCGCACGCGCACTGCGCCACGTGCCCGGGGGTGGACTCCTCGCACACGTACCTCGTGGTCAGTAGCGCCACGCACGGACCACCTAAAACAGTGCTAAAAAGCATCAATAAAGTGCTCTTGAAACGCTGTAAAATTGCCCTAAAACAAACAAAAATGACGTACAGAATTTGATCAAAACCAGTTCACGTGAAACACTCAAGCCGTTGGCCATATTACTGGTGCAAGATACTTAAAAGAAAATGTCTGCCTTTATTTACAGTGAAATCGGCAGAACTGACAATGGTGCCGATAGGCGTCACAGCAACATTAGATTACATTGTACTCACAACGGCTGACATTACAATATATAAGCAAAGAAATCGAATAGGCTACTCAGGAATTCTGTAGTTAAGATTTGTTGCACCTCGTAAATAATTTTTGAAGAAAATATCATTTAAATATATATTAAAATCGATGAAATCAGCGAAAATGCAATAAAAATGACGTAAAAAGGTACAAAAAGACTCATTAGCCAAACTTGACAAAAAATACAAAAAAAGATAAAAACTGGTAATTTTGCTTTTTCATAAAATTAGTTTTTTACTAAACGGCACTGTTGTTAAGTGAAAAGAAAAAAATGATAATTCATTACAATCCTCTCCTAGTGATGATAAGACCTACTGGTAAAATACTCTGTCCCGGAATCTTCAAGATATTTCTCTATATCACAGTCATATACCATTGCGTTCCTTTGGAAGTCACAAACTATGTAACTTCAGTAGTTATTTCTCGGTAACACGTTGTTGTTGTCGTCATCATCATCATTATTGCAGATAGATTTTATTTTTAAAAAGTATGAACATGAGCAGATAAAACTTATTACACTGTCTGCAAGGTGAAGAAAAAAATAAAATGACATCTCAGAATAATACAGCCAATTTAAGTACTTTTGATATATCCAACCATGACGATGTCTCATTTTTCTATAAAATTGCAATTAGAGTCCTTTTATTTTAAGGTCGCGATTTATAAATACCAAATGGATATGAATTTATAAAACTTTTCTACCATTCATACCTTCATGGTTTTCAAAACGTGCGCAATATATAAATTTTGCTGCTATTGTAATCTCTCGACTGTTGTTCGTGGAAGGTAAATAATCTCTCACAGTAATCCATATCCAATGGAGGGAGAAATCCATCCAGTCAAGAGGATTAACCATTCCCGAAACAGGGGCGAGTATAAATCTGTAATCCACTCCCTCCCTACTTTCAGCAACCAAATGTGTCACGTGCCGCTGAAAATCTCCGCAGGCCGAAATAGGTCAGTTCCGGATCTCACCAGCCAGCGGAGCACGGTAACCGCCCCCCCCCCCGCGATAAAACAACTAGCGGCGCTTAAACGGCACGTGCTTATTCCAAACTCTCTCTTTAGAGAGAATATTCATTTAAGGATAAAAATGAATATCTTTAATACTTTAGTTGTAGGAAGACTGCGAAAAAATTTTGAACTTTTGCAATTTTCGAAAAATTAGGGTTTTTAACCAACATGAAACCTGTACCATTCTCCTAAAGTCCTTCATACATCCCAGAAAAAATGGCTCCATCAAAACGATGGATGATTAATTTTGAAAATGTCCCTGGGGCTTGATGTAAAGTACCCCACAAAAATTAAATTTCAATTTCAAATTCAAATTCAACGGACAGCCACATCAGCCAAATCGATTGGGAAATGTCAATTTTTAAGAAAATCGGCTTAACTGTTCAGCCACTATCGTTGTTCACAGAGGAAAGACGGACGAACAGACGTTTTGCTGTCATTTGATTTTTCAGTACCAAGAACCCATAAAAATAGACTCTGGCTACACCATGTGGCAAAGAATATTTTTCTAAATTAACCAAAGAGAATTATCCAGTTTTTCGTTATCAGGGCCCTCTAATAAGAGTTTTTCTGCCAAAAATTCTTCATCTATTCGCGCATCATTACATAATTTTCTCTCTATTGAGTAAGGGAAGAAATAAACACATCCACTACACGCGTCGTGCACTGAACCTGCAGATGCCAGTGCGCCGGCTGGCCGACGGCGGCGAGGCGCTGCGGCGGGCTGCAGGCGACGTGGCGCGCGCGGCGGCCGCTCGCGACGCCATCCTGGTGCAGGGCACGGGGCCCGGGCCCCCGCCGCCGCCCCGCGACGGCGCCGCCCGCCCACCCCGCGCTGCTCTCCGGGCCCCGCTCCTGGCGTGCCCGTCCCGCTCTTTCAGCTCGCGTGGGCGCGGCCCGGCCGGCCGCCGCCGCCAGCCTCACACAACTCGAGGTGCGATAGACCCCGTGCGGGTGGTGCGACATTAAACGATGCAATCTAGCAACTTTGGCATTAGGCTTGTAGGGAGCCAATAGTTGGGATCGACGGAATGCGAGCTGAAAGTAGCGACTTGACAGTTGCACACGCATGCAAACGAGTATGAGGGCATGTAGGAGGAGGAAGCAGCAGATGACACTGCATAATAAATCTCATGAAACAAGTTAGCAAAAGTCACACTTGTCCATGAATCGGTAAATTCATCACCACCGTTGTTGGCAGGTACACGTTCTGATGTAATCAAAGAGATTGCTTACTGCCCCAAATTACCAGTCGGAAATAAGGCTGTGTACTTACTTTAATGTATCTAGCCAGAAAAGTAACTACCGATTCTACAAAATAAAACCCTTAACAGTACGAAATCTTACCATTACATTAAATATTGTTACCCATAAACGTTGTATTCCTACTCGTTAAAAAACAGGTTTGGACCGAAGATTTCATATTTATATGATATATTCTTTTAATACGAAAAGTAAGTGAATGCCGTACGAGCGAAAACACATAGCACTTGCCCCTCGTCGTAAACTGAGCCTAAACTTGTATAGCGCGTCCGTCATTTAGCCCTAAATGGGCTTATTTGCCCCTTAATGCAACTGGAGCTCTTGAAAATGATAGCATGATTCATTCCTTGTTGCGCGCAGGAGCGGTGGCGGTGGCGGTGGCTGGCGACGGGGGCGGGCCGGGCCCAGAGTGGCTCCAGGCGCGCGACCGCCTCGCGCGGAGCTGCCGCGTGGGCCTCCTGCCCGGCGGCCTGCCCGGCGCCTCACCGTCCACGTGCGTCCCTGGCGGGTGGCTGCGACGCCACGTGCTCGCCGTGGGGGGGAAACTGCAGTCCGATCCGAAGAATGTTGGTGATGGGCGGTTTGCAAGTGAGAAAAGGAGCGAAGTTGTCACGTGCGTGCCACTGAGCACGAGTGCCGGGACACGACGACCCACAGCGCTTCAAATAAATACGCAATTAAAAAAGCAAACCATACCACTCCGTATTGGGTATGAAGCAACAGTTTGAGAAGCGCAAGTCAATCAACAACTTCAATCTAATCGGCCTAGGAGCTCCCGCCCTTGGAAACAACCCGCCACTGAAAGTGGGAACTAGATGAATGATTGGGGTTTCCAATCGCGTCCTACTATGGTCGTTAGCAAGCCGTAAGTTAATGCACTATGTACTCGCCGGTGAGGTTTCGCGTATTTAGCTTTCCCCGCCAAAATATCTCCCTCCCCCCCCCCCAGCGAGGCACAGCCTCGCAGTACCAAGCTCTAAGCCCCAAATGGGCTCCTGGATATGTGTGATTAGTTGTAGTGCAGTAGTGTAAGTTAAAGATAAAGAGGGAGACAGCGATAAGAAAAAGAAAGTTGCGCGCTTGGTCCGTTATGATAAGGTAAAAAACGGACGTGCTTCTAAATTCATGTAGTTATACAAAAAAAGGCAATCATTTCTCAATACAGAGAGAAGATGTCGCCTTTAGGAACAATGAATTAAGACCCTGCGATTTTCGAATTCTAACTGCTCAAAAAATTTAATCGTGATTCAAAGTAGCTCTATCTCCTTGAACTATTCCAAACTACAGCCGTCTAAATTTGCACACGTAGCGCTCTATGTACTCCGGTCTTTATTGTTTAGTCTTAATAAAGATATTCAGTTAAAAACATCCTGCTGTGAAATTGCAATTTTCTACATTGCTATTTGGACGAAATTGACATTTATGGCGTAAGTTTTAGTCAAGTTCAATAGGCTCTATCTCCTAAACTAATCAAGCTACAGCGCTGTAGTCCGCTGACGAGATTGTAAGGTATT